CTGAAGTGCCTCAGCTGACAGGAACAGGAAGGAACAAGAGGTCAGGATTCCTGTGTACTAACATGAAATAGAGGGCGGAGTTCAAGGGACAGGATGGGGACAGATGTGCTCTCTACCCATATCCCCTTTCCACAGCCCAGGTGAAAAGGGCAGCCCTGCGGTGCCATGCTGTCTACCTGCTGATGCCTCCCTCTGCTGATGGAATCGAGAGTGGCACCTGGCCTCACAGTAGCAGCCCAGAGACCTCAGGCATGTCCTGACGCAAACTAGCGAGTTCACCATCAGATGGCCTCCCCCAGACATTAGGTAACAAGGTTAAAGGGAGACACACGGAAATGTGCTGATGAACATACAGAGTTCAGAGAGCTGAGGAAAGGTAATGAGGAAGTACAAAAGAGTAAACAGAAGTTATAAAGTGGAGAAAAGACAAAGATGGAGGCTGAAGGAAATGCTAAGAGGAAAGTAAAGCCAGTATCTTGGTGGGAGATGAACCCCTCTGAAGCGAGGCCTGAGGGCAAAGAAAGACTTCCTGACCAGCTCTCCTATAGATCCTTCTCTTCTTGGGTCCAGGTTCCAGGCACCTGAGTCCTTAAATGAAATACCTATTGCCCAAGGCTACTTGCTCCCTGCAGTACAGGGATGAGACTGAAGCATGTAGCAGGATCAGGGGCATGCCTCTCACTCCAGGGCCTGGTTTGGGCCATGGTATGCAGCCAACCTTCAATGTATAGCTGTTGAAGAAATAAATTGGAGCAAATGAATCAATAGTCTGTTTTCCTAGAGCCTAGTTTCCCATGACATCCTAGTAATAACTCCTGAGGTGGATGGCTTCCCAGTTCACTAGTTGCTTTCACAGACATTTATTGCATTTTATCTTTACAACAGCAGCCTTGTGAGAAACTCAAGGATGATATTAGCATCATTTCACAGGTAATTATTATTCCCATTTTACTGATGAGAAAATTGAGGCTTGGCGAAGTTAATAACTTGCTCAAGGTCATGTGGCTAAAGACAGAACTCAGCATTCTTTCCCCAGAGGCTGGCCTCTTGCCATCACCCAGCACTGCTGTCAACCAAATCCCCAGAGTCAAAAAGGCTACACCAAAACAATTTTATTTCAGACAATATTACCAGTAGGATTGGTTAACCCTTTATCAATACTCTTCCCAAGCACATTCAAATTTTTTAGATGACTTGAGTCACAAATCATCTGAATTGGGGGATGAGGGAATACACAGGCATGAAAGGGAGGCTTGGTCACTTCCTACCAGGGTTCTGTTGCACAAGCTTCAATAGTGTACAAGAAACTACTCTCAGAAGTTTGGTTATAGTCATAGGACAAGGGTGGGGAGTAAGGGCAGGACACATTGAGCTCACAGGCAGAAAGTAGGCAGGACAATGACCTGACCCAGAAACAATAGTGGAGGAGGGAACAAAAAGGATGGATTGATTGTTAAGGAAGATTGTAAAAACGACATGAGAAACAAAAGGAAAGGCAGTTTATTGGGGTAAATTAGTGGTTGCCCTCAACTTAGGGGGCTGGTCTCTCCACAAACCACTGGAACACCTCCCCAACCATAGATAAATGCCTCTCAAAAGTGCACAGGCTACTGGCCAGCTGAGGATCAAATTAGGACAGTTAAAACATTTCCCCAAATCTTTCTAGTTTGGGGGGCACAGGGTGGAAAGGACATGTTACTCTTTTGTTCTTGTAATCTGTAAGGTATGAAGGTGGAGAGTGTAGGCTGAAAAACCAGTCAGACCAGCTCTGAAACTCTGTGCCATCACTTCTTAGCTGTGACCTTGGACAAGTTACTTTCAATTTTTTGGAGTCTCAGTTTCCTCATCTGTAGAGAAATTAAAAGTATTTCCTTCACAGAGTTGTGAATATTAAATGAGAAAATCTGTACAAAGTGTTTGACACAAAACCAGGTACTAGTTAGTACTTGGTAATATTAGTTATTGTTATAATTTTTCATTGTGAGGAATTTGGGGGATATAAAAAGCACAGAAACCCACCTAAATCATCATAATCCTACCTGTGTAACATATATCCTTCTAGTCTTTTGTCTTTTCTATTCAATGCGCTTTTCAGATCTAAGCAATCAGCAGTCAGAGAGCTAAGCAAATTAAGGTAGAAGTGGAATAGAACTAAGAAAGGTTTGGGAACAAGAGGCCTCTAGAAATTTCAGGCAGCCAGGGAGGGGGAACCCAGAGTTACCTTCATGCTGCTGCACTTGGTAGACTTGCACTTCAAAACACCCAGAAGGGAGCCTTCCTGAGCAGAGCAAGAAGGTAACAGACCATGAAATAAAATAACAGATCCCTTCTCCCTCATTTTTTGATACAGTGCCTCATTCCCCATGAACAGACTTGTGGGTCTCATGGGCCATAGTCCTGGCTGGGCTCAGTCATTGATTACTCTGGCTTCCAGAAATGAGTCAGCTCACCAGTTTTGCCTCTCAGAGAAAATAATTAAAATGTTCTGAGAAAATCGTTCTCTCTCCCAATTTAAAGATCTATAGAAGGAATATTCCAGACTCCTATCCCAGTCATGAAGTGCTTAATTACCTTCCTTTCAAAACGTTGTTTCTCTTAAACCCTTCCTGCTGCAGGTTGAGCACCCTTTTTTTTTTGGGGGGGGGACTGTCATGAAGGAAAATAACTCACCTTTCTGTCTATTAGAGCATGTATGTTTATGCTCATCAGCCCTTAGGCCAATAAATGACAGCGTTAACTCGATTTGTCAACTGACTTCTGACTCTGAAAGGGTTCTCAGGGCAGTCCCCTTCGCCTATCTCCCTCCTGAGATCGGGAACCCAGGTCTGGGTGGAGTACTTTTTAGTACTACTACTCAAATTAAGAATGGGTTGTCTTTGTTCCATGATGCGTAATTATGCTGCTGTTTGAATCAGCAAGTGCTCCACTCGGACCTGCGCGCTTTCCCTCATTTGTGCACGTTTTCCTTGGATTATTACACACAATTTGCTCTGGTAAAAACTGTCCCCCACCCACTGGGCGCCTAAGAAATTCTTCTAAAGCAGCCAGGTGATCCTTTTCAGTCCGAGTTCTGCTACAAGTGCTAGTAAGACGTGAAATGCCCCAAATTAGTAAATCTGAGGGAACCAAAACCAAAACACACTCCATTTAAGCAGGTCGATGTTAAAAACGTACAGCCAACCCAACCATCCACTCGCCAGGTCCTGGAAACAGGCTTAAACTGGAAATAAGATGGAGTTTTCTTTGATAAAGCCCTAAGAAACCCACCCCCTTCTTCCAGCGTGCGCGGGAGTCCTGGGCAGGGGACGAGAGGGAAACCCGGCCGCGGCATGGCGGGCCGCAAAAACCTGACAGGCGACAAGACACGCCCACAGCGCCGGACCGCCCGCCATTTCTTTCCGCGGTTACGCGACGGCATCTGCGCCCGGCGACGGCGCCTGCCAGGCTCGCTGTTGTACTCCCGGCGCTCGGCACGTTGTAGGACCTCAATAAATGGTTAGGGAACCCGAATGGGATTAGAAGCTGCAGCAAAGCAAGGTGGCCCACTACCGCCATCGCGCGCCCTGGGAAAGCCGAAACGGCTGCGGAAGGAGAAGTGCGTTGCGAGAACGGAGCTTTTTGGAGGCCAGACCGCGCAGGCGCGTTGACGCCCCAACCGCGCAGGCGTCCCTGAGGCCTCCACGAGTAGCCGCGGTGGCCGGGCTAAGATGGCAGCCGTGCTGCTGTTGCTGCGTGCCCTCCGCCAGGGCCGGCGCTTGGGGCCTGGGTGGTTGCGGAGCCCAGGCTCGGGCCGGAGCCCAGGCCTCTTCGCCAGGGTCGGGAGGAGGCGGCCATACGTCACTCAGGGGCCTCCGGGGGGTCTCGCCGGGGCCGGAGGCCGAGCCCTGCAGGTAATCCCTTGGCCTGTCCGGTCTCCTGGGCTCGTAGTGGGCTGGGGTCCCAGGCCGCCAAGCGCCCCGCGGGGTACTTGGTTGCCACACAGATGCCCTGGGCACCCGGTGTGGGAGCTCGGCTGCCTTCGCCCGATCCTCGGGCTGCTCTGCTCCTGCAGGACGCCCTGGACTTTGTTTTCGGAGGGCTTGTGTTTTCTAATTGGATGTTGGAAGTTTTACTTCAAAACAGCGCATCTCAGCGGTGTGGAGTAATTGAAACGCGGGCGTCTAGCCGGGCAGGACAGACCCGGAAGAGGCAGGGCTCGATCGCACAGCCCTCCACATGGGTCTTCCCAACCCTTACACTTTGTAGGGATATTTTCCCCCTCTCTTCCTGCCGTTTTGCAGTTGAATCCAGTAAGAGCGTCACTGTTTTCTAGCAGAGAATTATTTTACAGTTGGCTCTTACAGATCGGGCTTCAGGGTGAATTCCAACACCTTCCAAATGGTAGTTTGCTATTGCTTTAAATGGGCTGTCAGGAAGTTTTTTGCATGAGCAGAATATCATGTAGCTGTATTTTATTTTTGTAATGTGGTTTGACATGTTATGGGTCTTCATTTATTACCGATTTATTCAGCACCTCCCATGTGGAGATGCCCCTTGTTCCGCTAAGACTGTTGTTAACTGACTTCAAGTCTGCTTCAGACTCATGGCAACCCCAGGCACAACAGAATAAAGAATGAAACTGGAATCTTCTTTCCTGAGTCACCACAGTGCCTGCTGAAAGAGATCATGAACAAAACAGCCATGATGGAGGAGAACAGTTTATGCATCCAGTTAATAACACTGGTTTATGTCACCAGGTTTCATTTGGCTACCAACACTGAGTGCTCAACTAGTTACTGTCAGATACAATGTTGAGTCTCTGATATGACACCATAACCCAAAGGGGACCAGCGGACAATCTACTTATGTGGCCCGCAGTGGAAAATAGGGGAGAGTACCATCCCCATGATCAGTTGCCAGTTAGACTGTTGTGGCCTATAGGGTTTTCACTGGCCGATTTTTGAAAGTAGATCACCAGGCCTTTCTTCCTAGTCTCTTAGTCTGAAAGCTCTGCTGAAACCTGTTCAGCATCATAGCAACATGCAAACCTCCACTGAAAGATGAGTGGTGGTTGTGCATGAGGTGCATTGGCTGGGAATTGAACCCGGGTCTCCCACATGAACAGCGAGAATTTACAGCTGAACCATCACTACTCTCTCCACTAAGATTAACTAACATCCTGAAAACAAAAAAAAGACCCTAAGTCCTTTATACCTTTTGGCTGCTTTTTTCCCCAACCCTCTGTTAGGATTTCAACCTTTACATTTTAGGTTGTAATTTATTATTATATAGTACCATAACTTGTGAGGGTCAATTTGAATTAATACCATATGCTGGTTTACTGGCCACCCTTCCCGAATCTAAGGCAACTGTAGATTTATTACATGTTCTATTGTTATTGTTTTAAGTTTTATTGAGAAGGAAAATAATCTTTAGTCTGATCTTGTGCCTTGAAGAGAACTCTTACTTTGTGACTATAACAGCTGAGGTAGGCAATTCACACTCACTTGTGAAATCTAAGCAAATTTTCTCACCAGTGGCTATAACAGTAATACAGTAACCTCGGTTTAAACAGACATTTGAGACTCACAGTGAAGAAAGGAGCTCTTTTGCCTTATCTAACACCCCTCTGCAGCCACACTCTGTGGCTGCCCTCCCCCACTTATATGACTCTTCTGGTCATTGCTAAGCCAAGTGTAGTAGTAGTAGTTAAACAGACAATCAGTTGTACCCGACAGGATTTTCATCCTTTTGCTAACAAGAAGTGACATGTACTCCTTAGGAAAGAGCATGGAGCAAGGTGTTACTGTTCTCCATAGCACCTGCAGAACAGGGATGAGCTAAGGGGAAAAAACAAATACCAGAAATGAACCCAATGGCAACACAGAGATAGGAAAAACTACATTGGACCATTGACCTTAGAAACATAAAACACGCTCTAGTGGGAAAATATTTATCTTGAAAAGAACATTGGGATTCAGAGTGGTAAACTTGCTGTGGTGCTTGGGAATGTCCTTCAAGGAATTATTTTCTGGAGATGTCAAGAGCAAAGGGTCTGGGCAGTCACTGCTGCCTTAGGAGCACTGGTCAGCCTGATGTGCCTGCCTGTCCTGTCCTACTGGGGTGTAGTGCTTCTCAGGTCACAGAGTGGCAGCGAGTGCACCCTGCGTCTTGTTCAGTGTTTCGTTTGACTTGCTCACTTGCTTTTGACCTTTTGATTTTGTCTTATGACTGAAATAATGCTCACTTCACATGTTGTTCAGGGCAATGTAAACATTACACATAAATAAATATTCGAGCATTTTTTTTTAAAGAATTTTATAGTGGGGAGCTACCTGCATTGCTTTAGTGTGCTGTGCTTTTGGTGTGATCCTTGATATTGTTCTTTTTTTCCAGAGCTTAGAATTGCAACTACTGACCCCTACCTTTCAAGGGATCAGCGGATTGTTATTGAAACAGCATCTAATTCAGAATCCAGTCAGTCTCTGGAAGATTTTAGGTGTGTACATATTGAAAAGCAAATGACAAGGTGGAGAGTGTTTTCTCCATCCGACTAGCAGAGGTTTTGGCCTCCTGGGCATTTGTGAATAAATTAGGACAGTGTCGCTGGTTTGACATTGACAGAAGGAGAAAATCCGTCCATTTCTTTGGCCACTAAGTGGACGTTTGCTCAGTTCTCAGAGTCTCTGAAGTGAAGGCACGAAAAGAGAGCGTGTTTAAGATCTGAACAGGGCATTTTTGCTTATTTTGTTTTAAGTTGCCTTTTTTAAAAAAAAGTTCTAGTATTTAGTAATAATAGGGCTGTTTAAAAAAAGTTTTTCCTGTTATCTAGCCAGCTCCAAGAACCTTTAATGAGGATCTACCAAATGGCCCTGAATGTTTTATATCCAGAAGGTAGAAATAACCTGTAGCTAATGTGCATTTATAATAGAATTGTTCTCTTTAATGAGACCCCAGCAAGCCCTACTGCATGCTTGCCCTTAGGTTAAAGGACCTTAGGGGTTGACACGGTATCATTTCACTCCCTGCTTTGTCCAGTTGTAACAGGGACAAAAGTGAAATATTCCGACTCCTAATTTACATTAAGCAGCCTGGTGCTGTGGGTGGTGAGGAGAGCGCTGGCCTGCCGCCTAGATTGCGGGTGGCTACTTGCACATCTGCCTCATGGTTTTTTTCTCATTTAAATGATCTCATGCACCCGCAGACTCTCAGACAGGAAGCACGCGCTTTAGCCACCAAAGTAACTGAGGACTATAAGCCAAGGTAGTTTCATTTGTGATTCTATTTACGTGTCTGTAAAGAAAGTTCGAAAGTTACAGTTTAGGTTGTGGCTGTGAGCCACCCCCAACCCCCTCCGTTTTTTCTCCCTTTTTATACAGATTGTTGAGTAGAGACTCCTACAGAGCACAGCCCTTCCTCGGCCTATCTTGGTGGTCATAGCAGCTGGGTTGCTGCTGTTGTCACATGTGCCAAAGCCACTTGTGTTGTTCATTTGTTTAAATTCACTTAAAGTAACCTAATATATTGAAAGGCTTGTTCTCATGATGTTTTCTCAAGTTTATGTTCACAACTAACGTTTATTGCCTCCCATTGACTAATTTAAATAGCAAAGATATTTAATCTCATAAGTTGAAATTGTTTCTTATTCTGTAATTGGCAAATACTATACTAACAATAATAAAAAGAAATGCTTTACGATCTTTATAAACTTATAAATCGTATGGACAGAGTTTTTCACATGGTTTCTGTTTTGATTTGGTCATTTGAGAATATGGTCTTTCCTAAATGTCTCCCCAAAGTTGCAAACCTTGGCTAGTAAATACTTTTGCTGTTCCTTGCAGGGGGCACCTACTATTTTAACACCTCAAGGATGAAGCAGAGGAATAAGGACAATGACAAATCCAGGGCAAAGACCCCTGAGGATGATGAAGGTATATCTGATGTTCTTAAACAGTGCTATCTCTGCTTGTTTTTACACCTGTGGTCTAGTCTAAGCACCATGAAACCACTTAGATGCTCGAGAACTGGGGAGCTGTGTGCGCCTGGCCCTGTGCACCTGTCCTGTTCCCGTCTAGTTTGGGCTGACCTGTCAGAGATCCTTCCAGAGGTGTCCCCTGTTGTAGTCACCTGAAGGCAGATGGACAAGGCTGTATGCTGGGTCTCGTAAAAATGGTCTCTCTTCTCAAAGAGCTCACTCTTAATTAGGTGCTGACTCTGTGGTGGCTGCTTTGTATTATGGAGACATGGCCTCAGTGTGTGCTATGGAGAGGTGGCCTTGGTGTGTGTGATGGAGAGGTGGTCTTGGTGTGTGTGATGGAGAGGTGGCCTCGGTGTGTGCTATGGAGAGGTGGCCTTTGTATGTGCAACGCAGAGGTAGCCTCGGTGGAAAGGCACTGAGAGCCCTAGAGAAAGGTGTGTACCTCCACAAGACTGGCCCCTGCATGTATTCACACTTCTGTGAGCCTGACACGCATAGTGGTCCAGACCACCTCAGAAATGCTTTTGATGGCTGCCCCTGGGCCGCGTGGGCACCTTTCCATGTCTCACCTCTCCCTGACAGCAAGGCAGCCAGCATCCCCACCCCAGCTGAGCTCTCCTGAAGTGAAGGCCGGGTCTGAGCTCACTGCATCTTAGTCTTGTGTTTCTGTCTCCTGTGGCCACCCTTGTCAAGAGGAAAGGAAGCGGAAAGAACGAGAAGACCAGATGTACCGGGAACGGCTGCGCACCTTGTTCATCATTGCAGTCGTCATGAGCCTGCTCAACTCCCTCAGCTCCAGCGGCGGCAACATCTCCTGGAACGACTTTGTCAATGAGATGCTGGCCAAAGGTGAGGTGCAGCGTGTCCAGGTGGTACCCGAGAGTGACGTGGTGGAAGTCTACCTGCACCCCGGGGCTGTGGTGTTTGGGCGGCCGGTGAGTGACGAGGCACCCGTTAGGGTAGGGGAATGTAGCCTGTAACAGGTGTTTGGGAGAACTGCAGACTTATCTGAATCCTTTTTAACTCAAGCCCCACCTCCCCGTATGTTTGGTTTTCCCGTGTTAAGTTTTCATAAAACACGGTGTGAGTGTTGTTAGATTTAAAGAGTCTCATACTGCCCAGTTACATCGCATCGCTGTGTGTGGTCCCCACACTTGGCATGCACAGCCGTGCTGAGACCCACATCAGGGCCAGTGGGTGGGCAGTTTAAAAAGCAAACACCTATACCCCATTTTCCTACGGTTTTCTTATTAGTGGACAATAGAAAAAGTACATCTGTTGAAATTTTGTTGTAGTTGTGTTTGAGAAAATTAAAACTGTTTTAGACTTGGGAGTCAATTCTGAATGGCTGATGAAAGGACCTTCTTCCAGAACACCAGAATGTCTATAAAATGTGTTACAGGGGCTACACCAGAGTGTCTATAAAATGTGTTACAGGGGCTGCTGTCTGCTGACTGGGTAAGGAGAGCTCTCCCCTCTGTGCCCATCTCTCATAGTGCTCTCTACTCTGTGCCCCCAGCGACTGGCCTTAATGTACAGGATGCAGGTCGCAAACATTGACAAATTTGAAGAGAAGCTTCGAGCAGCTGAAGATGAGCTGAATATTGAAGTCAAGGACAGGATCCCAGTCTCCTACAAACGAACGGGATTCTTTGGGAAGTATGTGTTCGGCTTTGTCAGCTCTCTAGCTCTGTCCTAAGCCAGGCTCACGTGGTGGGGCTGTGAGAAACAAACACAGTCTCTGGCTGGCCTTGCCTGCCCGGGACCAGAATCCCTGTGTGCGGGAATAATCTAGCAGGGGGAGCTCTGGAAATGTGCAGGCCTGCTGGAGTTTCTTCCAGTCCTTTCTCTAGTCTCTATGACGTTTCTTAACCCACCTGTGGGATTGCTGTCTTCCACAGATAGGAAACTGGAATGAAAAGGGTGGAGACAGTAATGCCCAGTAGCAGTTCTTATTTCAATGTTGCAGAGAAAGAGAGACACATGCAGGAGCTGGTGGTAGTTGTGGACCTGACAGCTTCCCTAGTGGGAGCACGTTCACTGGGCCCTCACGTGGATCACCTCACAGTGTGGCTGGCAGGCAGAGGTGGACACGTGACTCGAGCTCACGGCCTGGGGGTTTCCTTAGAGCATGATGCTCTAAGGCTGCTGTGTTTAGTGTTGGGGTGGTGGGCAGGAGGCAGGGACCTGCCTAGGGCACCAGCACCAGCGTCCAGGAGTTGTCATGGTTACTACTGCGTCATTTTGCGTTGCAAATCAGCATTGCCAGCCTCATGTTGAAAACATAAAAGCTGCTCTTTCTGGGCACGCTGCAGGCTTCAGGCACTCAGGTCTACGTGCACTCCAGGCTGCTCTGGCTCCATGTGGCCCATCACGTCCATTCGCGAGCTTGAATCTGCAAAGACTTTATAAAAGAGCATGATTGGCAGCAACTGACAGAAAACCTGTTTTCACTGCCATTTTGTTCTGCTCTCTGGTTTCAGTTAGGTATTGCTTTTCTCATGTTGTCAGGTGTCCAGCTTTATAAAAAGGTTGATCTGTTAGTGGCCAGGTTACAGCCCTCACCTGTAACTTGCCCTTCTTCCCCCTGCTCTCTCTGTTTCTCCCTCTCTCTCACGTTAGTGCCCTGTACGCCTTGGGGATGACGGCTGTGGGCCTGGCCATCCTGTGGTACATCTTCCGCCTAGCTGGGATGACAGGCCGGGAAGGTGGATTCAGTGCTTTTGTAAGTTGCACGACAATATCTCCCTGAACTCGCAGTCTCAGTCTCGGGACTCGTCTGTATCTGTGCTTGCCAAGTATGTGTCCCATGAACAACAGGATAAGTCTGCAGTGAAAATTGACCTGTGGCCATGCCAGCCTGGAGCCACAAGTTGGCACCCGCCCTTCTCTCTGACCGGCCAGCTGGAGAGTGGACAGAAGCCAGCCACAGATGAGGCCCTCCCTGAGCTGAGTGCTTTTGTAGGGCATATTATCCTGCAATATTCAGATCAGCCAGGAATGACAGCTCAGAAGCTGAGAAATTTTGAAGGTTGTCTTTAAAAGAATAACCTTCCTTCATGCGATTCTAAACTGTTCTCCTGTTGTGGTGGCATCAACATAAAGTATTTTTCCTCTTGTGACTTCCTCTGGACTTGAGCAGGGTGTAACCGATTAGGTGAAGAGCAGCAGAGCCTGAGGGGAGACAGGCTGGGCAGCCCCAGACTGCCCCACCCCTCAGACACAGTGACAGAGCTGGTCACACTGTCCCCAAGGTGCTTCCCTTTATGCCACGAACACGTGTGCCCATAACTAAAGCGTGGCACCCTCACTTCAGTGGCAGCACGGTCACTCACTGGGCCTGTACCATGCTCCACTTAACAAGGTCTATGATTGTCACATGTCTGGGTTGCTGCTTCATGCTTTTTGTATTTTAAATGGTACTGGGATGACGTCCATGCACACGCCTCCTTTGAGTGCATGTCTGATGATTGCCGGTACATCTGCCTGAGAGGAGAACTCTAGCTGAGGTACATGTACCTTTGTCAGAACTCAATCTGTCTCGCCAGGTTACTCTCTGGAAATTTGCCAATTGGCATTTCTATCAAGACTCTGTGATACTTAGTGTCACTGCATTAATCTTATAATCAGAAAAGCAAGTTAAGCAATAGTGGGAAAAATCATGTAGAAAAAATAAGTTATTTATGTAAAACGCAATGTTAAATTATTTAGTTTATGCGGTGTTTTGGTATCGTTTTAAGGCAAATGGCTAGACAACGTTCTTACTAATTAATGACGTAAAAACTCGTTTCCCCTGGTGTTTGAACAATTACCATGTAGCCCTGTCTGTCTCACATGTGGATGGAGAGAGCTTGGGCTGGAACCCATGGACTGAAGGGGACCTGTCAGACCCTCAGAGGAGGTGTCTCTCCTACCCCACAAGATGGACGAGAGAATGTTTGCATGGCGAGGGGAGATTGGACGTGTCAGCTTGGGTGGGATGGCTGAGTCTCAGATATGGAGGGAGCCATTGTTCCCTCTCTGCTGGGTGGCACAGCTCCTTCTCCTTTATTCTTTTCTGCACAGAATCAGCTCAAAATGGCTCGTTTCACTGTTGTGGACGGGAAGATGGGGAAAGGAATCAGCTTCAAAGATGTGGCAGGAATGCATGAAGCCAAACTAGAAGTCAAAGAGTTTGTGGATTATCTGAAGGTGAGAGCCACATGTTGAGCTAGAAGAGATCTCTTTTAAAGTACGTAAGTGACCAAGAGGCCCACGTTCCGGCTTTCTAGGAGGAAGCCTGAGGCAGCAGACACCCCAGGACTGGGATTTTGTTGACAAGACCTGTGTGGGGCGATGCCTCCTCCCTGGTGTGCAGATAACCAGGTTTCCATCGTCTGTCTTCCTCCTCCGGGACACCGCGCCTGTTGGACCAGCATCCGAAGCTCAGGGCCTGATTGTTATAGTAGCAGGGCTCTAAGAACCCATTGCTAATTAGCCTTAGATGACCAACACTGGATCGCAGTGTGGCCTGTCCACAAACATACAGGAGGTGGCGGTCACATCAGTCACTCAGAAGTCCTGGCTGAGATGCCAGGGGCAGTGCCACTCTCTCCACTCCTGTTCCAGAGCCCCGAACGCTTCCTCCAGCTTGGAGCCAAGGTCCCGAAGGGTGCATTGCTGCTCGGCCCCCCTGGCTGTGGAAAGACCCTGCTGGCCAAGGCAGTGGCCACCGAGGCCCAGGTGCCCTTCTTGGCAATGGCCGGCCCCGAGTTCGTGGAGGTCATCGGAGGTAGGTGTCACTGGGGCCGTGTGCCAACTCAGGTGTCCCCTGGCCCGGGATCACTCTCCTTTCATGCCTCCTTTCTTGAGAGTGGCGTTGGAGGGAAATGGCAAAGCCTGCATGAGAAGGAAACATTTGGTTTATTGTCCTGGGGCTGCACTTTCTGTGAGCTGTGGAGGTCAGGGGACAGTAAGCTCCTGGCTCCCACCAGCCACGACCTCTGCTTGGACATGGAGGACAGTGGTGTTTGCAAGAGAGGAGAAGGCTTGTTTTGATGTAGTCTAAATAGTCAATACAATTTCCCATTGTCTCTCAGCTTCTGATACTCTGTTCCTCAGGCCTTGGCGCTGCCCGGGTGCGAAGCCTCTTCAAGGAAGCCCGCCACCGGGCCCCCTGCATTGTTTACATTGACGAGATCGATGCTGTGGGCAAGAAGCGCTCCACCACCATGTCCAGCTTCTCCAACACGGAAGAGGAGCAGACACTGAATCAGCTTCTGGTGGAGATGGACGGTGAGTGCATGTGGCAGGGTTGGAAGGGTGCCTCCCACCCAGGCAGGGCAGAGAGGGTTCCCCCCACCAGGCAGAGTCAGGAGAGCGGCCCCCACCAAGACACAGCTGAGAGGGTACCCCCGACCCAGGCTGGGCAGAGATGGAGCCTCGCCCAGGCAACAGCTTCTATGCAGGTGAAGCTATGTGTGTTTGTTGTTCTAGCAGTCTTAAACTAATGATCGAGACATAAAACATTGCCATAGATGTGGACGATATTATTTCCCAAGGAGCAGTTCTTAGCAGTTGATTACTAGAAACAAGCTGAGTTTAAGAACTCTTTATCTTACTGCACTCAAGAAACAGCTTCTAATAAAATCAAGACTATTGTTAGGGAAACTGAGACTATAAGTGGTAAGTCAGGTGATGATTCTTAGGTTTGTAATCTCAATGAATCCAGCAGGTTGCTGCTGTAGTGTGTGCCGGTGGGTGCTGCCTGGTTGAGCTGTGGGCCTGTGGCACCAGATAGGGGCTAGATGGAATGTTCGTAAGGGCTGCCGGTCAGCCAGGCTGCTCCAAGTGGGCACTGTGCTTTTGCCCTCGAGAAGGAGCTCCAGCAGGCATCCAAGTCATTCCTTTTAGTCATGGAAATGACCTGGTGAAGGTGACAGTGATGGTGCAGCTGTTTTTCTTTTGAGCTATTTTTTGCAAGATCAATTTTTAATTTTATTTTTTCTTCAATCGGAATTCTAGTTATATTTTATGGATTATAGATTACCAGTACCAGTTGCCATGGAATTGACCCCACCTCATGGTGATCCCACGTGTGTCAGAGTAGAACTGTGCTCCAGAGGGTTTTCAGTGGCTGAGTTTTTGAAAGTAGATCGCCAGGCCTTTCTTCGAGGTGCCTCTGGGTGGACTTGAACCTCTGATCTTCCAGTTAGCAGTTCCTGTGTTGGAAACCTTGTGCCCACAAAGCTAGGCACACAGACTGTTGGCAATGAGTTGTCACAGTCGTTGTGCCATGACCACGAGGGCAGAGGGCGTGGTGATGGGGTGATGGTACACTGAGCCTCCCCTCTCCCCCGCGCCATGAGCACACACAGGACACATGGCGCCCTCCATCATGGGCAGAGCCCAGACTGCGTGTGCTCCTGCCATACGCTGACCACTGGGGTCACAGCTGCTTTCAGGGCCCAAAGCAACACGTTCTTGTCCTTACGGCTCCCATGGCAGCAGTCACACGACAAGCAGCATCTGAAGGCCACGTGTCTCCGCTTCCTCCAGGAATGGGCACGACGGACCATGTCATCGTTCTGGCATCCACAAACCGCGCTGACATTCTGGACAGTGCACTGATGCGGCCCGGCCGGCTTGATCGCCATGTCTTCATTGACCTCCCCACCCTGCAGGTGGGGACCATGGGGACGAGCAGCGTCAGGGCCAGCAATTCATGAACTTTGCAGGCACCGGTCAGTGCAGCATGAGCAAGCAGCCCTTCCCACCCACCTGATTTTGGTCTACTGTCTGTGTGGAGCCTGCAGGCATCTCCTTGATCCACTCCCACCACCCCTTCCTGGAACCCCTCAGTGGCTCTTACCCATGGGTAGACATGTCACAGAAGTGCCTGGTGGCTTCCCAGAGGCATGCATGCTGGCGCCTTGAGTGTTGCCAGGCTGCATCCAATCCTGCATCTCCTTTTTGCTCTGGCAGGAGAGGAGAGAGATCTTCGAGCAGCACCTGAAGAGTCTGAAGCTGACCCGGGCAAGCAGCTTTTACTCACAGCGTCTGGCAGAGCTGACACCTGGATTCAGTGGTAGAAAGCCATTTCCTGGCGTGTCTCTCCCTGCAGCCTGTGCAGCACCCCATGCTGAGGGCACAGCAGGGGATCCCTGGGGTGGCCCTGCTGTCCTGACAGGCCTGGGTGGGAGCCACAGTACAGGTAGTCCTCGACTTACGGTGGGGTTCTATTCCAACAACTCCATTGTAAGTTGGTTCTGACGTCAGTCTTCTTTTTGTTAGTTTTCATTATTATTGCCTTTTATTATCATTATCTTTTATAAATCCAATCTTTGAACATTTGCAGTCAACATCTGTGAATGATACAGTGAACTATGTATTGCAACGTTGTATGTAGTACATATTACTAAAGATAAGATGCATTTAAAAAAAAAACAGACCATCGTAAGCGCAATTTGTTGTAACTCTTAATACGTCGTGAGTCGGGGACTACCCATACTACACCTGCATTCAGACTCCCTTGATGGCATTGTCTGTGTCTGGGCCACACATACACTCCCCACCCATCCTGGAACCACCCCCAGTCGTCATGGAACCTGCCCCCCAGCCATCCTGAGGTGTCTCAGGTTCACTCAGTGCTGTCTGCATTCACCCCACATCGTGCTGCCCCTCACAGGCTTGAGGTCACAGTGTGTCTCATCGCTTGCTGTTTGGGTTTACAGGTGCTGACATCGCAAACATTTGCAACGAGGCTGCGCTGCACGCTGCACGGGAGGGCCACACGTCCGTCCACACGTCCAACTTCGAGTATGCCGTGGAGCGCGTCTTGGCAGGTACAAGGGGCCACACTCTCCCGCCAGAGTCTGTGTCCTTGATGCTGCATGAGCAGAGGCCTTTATACCAGAAAAAAATTATGATAGGGTGGAAGGAGCCCCAGTGCACCCTATGAGGCAGTTCTACTCTGTCCTGTAAAGTTGCTGTGAGTCGGAGTTGACTTAATGGCTCACAACAACAACAACAGGGTGGAAGGAGCTCCAGTGCAGGTCTGTGTATGATCCCCTCCCCCGTGGTACAGTGGGGTGGAAGGAGCCCCAGTGCAGGTCTGTGTATAGTCCACTTGCTCTGCCGTGGTACAGTGGCATGGAAGGAGCCCCAGTGCAGGTCTGTGTATGATCCCCTCCCCCGTGGTACAGCGGGGTGGAAGGAGCCCCAGTGCAGGTCTGTGTATAGTCCACTTGCTCTGCCGTGGTACAGTGGCATGGAAGGAGCCCCAGTGCAGGTCTGTGTATAGTCCCCCAGTTCCACCATGGTGGACAGTGCAGGCCTGTGTATTACCCGCCGTGGTACAGTGGGTGGAGCAAGCCCCAGTGCAGGCCTGTGTATGCCCCCCACAGTACATGGTATGGTGGGGTGGACAGTGCAGGACTGTGTATCCCCTGCCACAGTACTGTGGGCAGAGTGAGCTCCAGTGCGGGCTTGTGTATCCCCCGCCCATGGTACTGTGGGTGGACAATGCAGGTCTGTGTGCCCCCTGCCCCTCCTGTGGTATAAGGAATCCCTGAACAGAGAGACGTACTTCAGGTGTTTCACAGATACGTGCACCTCAGAGCTGAGACACTGGCCTGTGTCCGTGTGCTCCTCTCACTGAACAGGCTCAGACAAACTGTTTGGGGCACGCTGGGAGGGGCACGTGGCCATTGAGCCTCCTGTGTGATCATCCCCATAGAAAGCAGTTTCTTGGTTTCTCATCTACCTGGTGTGAGCTCACATCTAGAGGGCGATGCCACCAGGTGCAGGGAGGGACTGAGGGACCGTGGCTCAGGCACGTGGCTTGGCAGTCCTCCTTTACTTGCCACAGTTGTCGCCTCGGCATCCTGTGGGCAGAAGTTCTCTGACCTCCACTGTAGCAGCGTGGATCACAAGCACTCCATCAGGAGCTTCCTGTTTCTCACTGACAGTTTTTGGGCAAGCCACTCTTATATGGACATTGATAGGCTGGACATCACACAATCGGGCGAGAATAAGAGTGGCTGAAGAGATGCCAGCAGGTTTATTCCAGGAATAAGCTCTGTCCTGGTTGCACAGCACGGGCTGTGAGCTGGCACATCTGGTTAAAGCAGTCATGTCAGCCCGAGGCCCATGTGCATGTCCCTGCCATCAGCTTTGGGTGAACACTCTGCATAGTGACGTGCCCTCAATGGAACTTTCAGCCATACAGTAAATGGGCCATAGATGATTCTAGGAGGAGAAGCTCTGAACACTCGAACCTAGAGCTCATCCAGGTCTTACAAGAAACATGAGGGAGTTTGGGAAGTGTTGGACAGCAAATGAAATTCCTGGTAATTTGAACAGGGGAAGTTTAATATCAAAGCTTCTTACCTAGATAAGAGGTGGCTAACTAGTAGAAGAGATGAAAGATAACTGTAACGAACTAGGGAAAAGTGAACAAGAAATGAACTCAGAGGGCCCCACGCCTGCCCAGCACTGCCTTTTCCCCTCGCCTGGCCCCTGTGCCCTTTGCTGGCACAGGGAAGGGTGCAGAAGGTGGGTGTGCCATTTCTAAAGGCTGCAGAAGCTGTTTTGGTTAATTTAACATTTACAGAAGTAGAAAAGATATGATCTCCTCTTGCACCCCCTCGCCTAACATGTTTCCTCTCAAATTGCAGTGGTAGAGAGTGACTCTGGGTGACATCCTGAGGGAGGGAGGTGCAGGGGTGGACAGTGACCCTGCCTTGATGGCTTGAGGTGGGGCAGGTCATGCTGAAGGAGCATTCTCCAGAGCTATGTGGCCCACCTCCCAACACCCTCCTAGGCACTGCCAAAAAGAGCAAGATCCTGTCAAAGGAGGAGCAGAGGGTGGTTGCATTCCATGAATCGGGCCATGCGCTGGTTGGCTGGTTGCTGGAGCATACGGAGGCTGTGATGAAGGTGGGTGCAGCAGGTGCAAACTTCCCTGCCCTGGAGCACAGCAGCTCTGGCCTGTGGCACTCCTGTATGAGTGGGAGAGTGTGTGTGTGTGTGTGTGTGTGTGTGTGTGTGTGTGTGTGTGTGTGTGTTTTGTGTGTGTGCACGCGTGCGTGTGTGTATGTGCTTCGTGGAGGCAAAGCACAGCTTGTGAAGGTCTCGGAACAGCAACCTCATGATGAGGGGAGGGCAGGAGGTGTGAGACTGAGACTGGGTGTACGTGTTACATCTAGAGCCACACAGCTGCCAGGAATTTGCTGACGTGAGCTTGGGGGTCTCCTTGCCCTCTTCTGTGTGTGCAGTCTGAATTAAGGATTGCCACATGTACTACCAGCACTAATACATGTTGGTTTAATGACTCTTAAGCTATGACTGTGCCCTCAGAGACATTCGTGAGCCTGGTGAAGCCAGTAGCAAGTTGTTGTGTTATAAACAGCTTCAGCGAATGGTGGGTTTGTGACCAGAGACCCCAGAACAACTGTGGAGGGGACGTGGGTACTTGGGTTGGGCACTCCCTTAAAGTTAAGGGCCCACGTAGACATCGGGGACATAGCCCAGGGTACACTTTGGGAGCCCATCGGGTGGTGTCTGAGGAGGGACATCTATGCCCTTGCAGGGTCTGAAGGCACAGTGTTACTCGTCTTTGCATTTCAGATGGGAGAAGGGTGGCAGGTGCCTTGTTCCTGATGTATAATGAGCGTTGGCTGTGTTGGATGATGACCTGCTGGTCAGGGCTGGATGTCTGGTCCTGTGATAGTGTTGTCCTCTGACAACATCACACATAATTCTGGGACTCAGGATGCACTGGGGCTATCACGTGGGCTGGGATGAGGCAAGTGAGGCAGTGATCATGGTGGATCATACTCGGTGCTGCATGTCAGGAGGTCACAATCAATGCAGAAGAACCCACAGTGAGCAAATACCAAAATTTCACATTCCGTTTTGCTTTCAGGAGAATTTTTACTTTATTTGATGACTACAGGTCAGATAAACTAGTCGTAATGAGGAAACATCTCTCTACCAAGAGTGGATTTTCTGCTAGAAAAGTTTGTGATGTTAATGTTTTGGTTGTTATGATCATCACTGTAATAGTGACGATTTAAGGCCTTTTTAACTGCACTTTAATCCAGCATCAGGTTCTCATGGCTCTGTGAAGTAGCATCTCTGCATCACTCTCAGAAATGGCAGGGCTGCTTCTCCCTGGGGCCCCATCCCTGTCCTCACATTAGGCGCCAAGGTGCCTCCTTGCTGGCCGCCCACCTCACGTGGTGTTGGAATCAGGGAAGAAGACCAAGGCCAGGGGGGCTCACTGCCTCCCAGGCTGCCGTGGGCAATGGGCCTGCTGGGGGCAGCAGGATGGCTGTCAGGGTGTTGTGGTGCTTCACCTCCCGAAGTCTTCTGTTGTGTGTCCCTGCCTTTTTCCCCCAAATATACATAGTAATGATACACGAGGAAAATGCAACCCTTATAGTATATGAACAGTTGTTCCCAGGAGCTGTCCTCCCTGATGTCAGAGTTCTCTGTTGTTATAAACTGAGGCCAGTGTATGCTGGCCTAGCTGCTCTGAAGCCTCAGTGAGTCTGTCTGTCTCTCCCATCTCCACCCTGAAACCTCCTTGTCTTGCTGACGGGACCTCCTGACACCTGCAGGTCTCCATTGCACCACGGACCAATGCAGCCCTGGGCTTCGCGCAGATGCTGCCACGGGACCAGCACCTCTTCACCAAGGAGCAGCTGTTTGAGCGGATGTGTATGGCCCTGGGCGGCCGCGCCTCCGAGGCCATCTCCTTCAACAGGGTCACTTCTGGTGAGGAGCTCCTGCCAGGCTGAGTCCCGGCCAGCCAGTGGCATGGCATGTGGGGCCTCCTAGTGTCTCAGTGCTTATCTGTTGTCACCCTTCTGCCCAGGGCAGGGGGTAGGGGGCCAGCCTGGTGCAGACTTGGACGTGTGACTCAGTAAAGTTTTCAATCTCGGTGATTAAAAGGGACTGTGCTCCAAGGAGGCTGGGAGGAAGCAGGACTTTTCTGTACTTTGCAAAACAAAATTTCGCGTGCACACACACCACGAATGCATTTAATTGGTTAACTGTTGGTGATAGCAACCCAAAATTGAACAGAACTTACGCAGCCTTGCTGTTCTCAAGCCTCCATTCATTGGGCACTGAGAGGCTAGCGGGTTCCCAGTGACATTGGGGCATGTCTTTTCCCTGGGTCTGGTGTCTCCCTGGACCCGTGCTGGCATGGCAGGAGGAGCTTAGCTCATGACCAAGCAGGCGTTTAGTGCGAGAGAGTTGTTAGGGTGTTATGGCTCTAAGAAGGAGCAGTGAAGAGGTGCAGATACCCTCTTTGGCATTTTGATGTTTCTCCTGAGAGGGGTTGGGGGAGCCTGGTGCCTCTGTCCACCAGGGGTGGGGGTGCAGGGGGAGTGCCCTGTGTGTGTCAGGCTGCGGCATGTGCTCACACAGCCCTCTGGGCCATGCTGCAGGGGCACAGGATGACCTGCGGAAGGTCACCAGGATCGCCTACTCCATGGTGAGACAGTTTGGAATGGCACCCAGCATTGGCCCTGTCTCCTTCCCCGACGCCCAGGAGAGCCCAACTGGGATTGGCCGGCGACCCTTCAGCCAGGGCCTCCAGCACCTGATGGACCACGTGAGTGCCTGGCTTACTCCTCCCCGCCAGGGTACCCGTAGGGTCGCCCTGCAGGGTGTACAGGCCACATGTTGCTGCCGATGTGCCCCTCACTGCATACCTGTGCCTCCTTTGTTCACAGGAAGCAAAGCTGCTGGTGGCAAAGGCCTACAGGCACACGGAGCAGGTGCTGCAGGACAACCTGGACAAGCTGCAGGCGGTAAGGGTCTTGTGGGGAACGTTGCCCCAGAGTGAGCACAGAGAGGGGGGATGCTGCCCTGAACTGAGAGTAGGGAGGAGGGACACTGCCCTGGTCACCTCCCCGGAGTGAGAGAGGTAATCGGGGGGACACCATCACTGCCCAGTCACTGCCTGGACCCCAGGGCTGAAGCGGGGGCAACGTCATCCTCTCCGCTCCCCATTCATAGGCCACACACCTTGACTGGTAAGGAAATGGAAGCAGCCAAGACTGAGGGGGACTTGGGCAGGAAGTGGAGACTGATGAGGCTGGCGGCTTGCTGGGAACGTTCCCAGTAGAGACAGGGCAATTCTTCTCTGTCCGAGCAGCTGAGTCACTGCCTCCTCAGAAGGTGCCATTGGGTGTCCTGTGCACACAGACACCCTTTCAGCCTCAATCCTCGTGCCTGCAAGGCTGGGAGGGCCTCAGTGTGCGTGGACATTGGCGACAGAGACACTCTGCTCTCAAAAGGCCCTTGTCTGCTTTGTACTGGGGACTCACACAGCTGCCTTGTCCTTCAGCTGGCCAATGCGTTGCTGGAGAAGGAAGTGATAAACTACGAGGACATTGAGGCCCTCATCGGCCCACCACCCTACGGGCCCAAAAAGATGATCATGCCCCAGAGGTGGGCTGATGCAGAGCGGGAGAAGCAGGACTCGGGGGATGAGGAGGCTGCACAGCAGCCCCCACTCCGTGGAGAGGAACCCGACAAGGAGCCTTCCTGACCCAAGTAGTCTGAGCCTTCGATCATGTGGGGCTCACATGTCCTCCAGCGCCGGGGAGCGGACTGCCCTCTGAGGCCTGTCCTCCTTTGTCAGCCCTTGATGTCTCTGCTGAGGGGTCTGAGGCCCATTCTCCATTTCCCTGTGCACAGTTAGTAAACTTCTTTGCAGAGATAAATGGTTTAATTTTGCATTTGTGTGTCATTTCTCCTGTGGGGAGGATTTTGGTGCGTGTGACAAGTGTGGTGTAGAGCAGTCCTCAAATGCCAGGAGTTCATAGATACTCTCGCTTTCCACGTAAGGCATTGCTGACCCCAGGGCCGAGCAGTCAGATGTCTGAGCCATTCTTTTTTTTCTTTTTTTTTTATTGTTGTAGTTTAAGCGAAAGTTTACAAGTTAGTCTCTCATGTGAAAATTTATACATACATTGTTATGTGACCCTAATTGCTCTCCCTGTATTGTGACAGCACACTTCTCCTTTCCACTCCTGAATTCCCATGTCCATTCAACCAGCTCCTGACCCTCTCTGCCTTCTCATCTCACCTCCAGACAGAAGCTGCCCACTTAGTCTCATGTATCTACTTGAGCTAAGAGGCACTCTTGTCGTGTCATTTTATGTTCCACAATCCAGTCCAATCTTTGAAGAGTTGGCCTCGGGAATTGTTTTTAGTTCTGGGTTGACAGAGAGTCCGGGGGCCATGCTTTCTGGGGTTCCTCCAGTCTCTGTCAGACCGTTAAGTCTGGTCTTCTTACTAGAATTTGAGTTCTGCACCCCACCTTTCTCCTGCTCCATCTGGGACTCTCTGTTGTGTTCCCTGTCAGGGCGGTCATTGGTGGTAGCTGGGCACCATCTAGTTTTTCTGGTCTCAGGCTGATGAAGTCTCTGGTTTATCTGGCCCTTTCTGTCTCTTGGGCTACTTCTTTCCTTTTGTCTTTGGTGATCTTCATACTCCTTTATTCCAGGTGGTTGGGACCAATGGATGCATCTTAGATGGCCGCTTGCAAGCTTTTAAGGCCCCAGACGCCACTCACCACAGTAGGGTGCAGAACATTTTCTTAATAAACTTTGTTATGCCAATTGACCTAGATGTCAATTGCATGGTCCCCAGACCCCTGCCCCTGCTACTCTGTCCTGTCTGAGCCATTCTTGGCCAATGTCCCAGCCCTGTGACACCACAGAATGCTGGCAGCACACATGGCGGAAGGGCCTCTATAGCTTTGCTGAGCTGACTGTCCCCCGCCCTCTGCTGGGCCCTGTGGTGTGGTCCCTCAGAGTCAGGGATGAAGGTCCCAGCTTTACAGCATTAACATACTGCCACTTACTGCCAATTACAGTGTGCAGGTCGAGCTAGCTTCCCTTCTGGGTCATTTGAACGGTGTGGTGAGCCCCGAGAATGGCTGTGATGCTAGACTAATAAATTTTGCAGATGGAGGGCCTATCTCTGTGCCACATGGCCAGCTCCAACCCGTGTACACGCCGCTCCCCCCCCCACAGGGACCCGTGTACAACCCCTTGCCCTCCACAGGGACCCATGTACAAAACCCCTCCTACATGGGAACCTATGTACAACACCCTCTCCCAGGGATCTGCTTACATCCCCCCCTCACAGAGACCTGTGTACAACACTACCCTGCCCCTCCACATTGTTGTCCAGGAATTCCCTGGCCCTGCTTGGTTCAGTACTGCATTCAGGGGCATTAACTAGCCCTTCTAGTGGCCTTGCAGGCCCAAACCTGACAAAAGCCCATAGGCACAGTGAGGTTTGCAGTCCTGTGCCAAGGGCGACAGAGACTGTCCCTATAACTAGACATTTTAAAACCCTTGAGCTAGCCAAGTCTTTGTATCAGAAGGACTCCTCATAACTGCTCACTTTTTCAGCCTTTCTGCCTGGGAAAGCTGAGAGTGCAGGCAGCACAATTTCATATCAGACCTTTTCTGCCTCTGCTTTGAATACTTCTCAAAGGAAGTATGGAGCAGTCAGGAATGGGAATATTGGACCCCATGTCTGTCTGGGTTGTGTGCAGCAGGCCAGGTCGTCAGATTACAGCTTGGTTTCTTCACAGCTAGCTGGATTCTGAGCAGGGCTCATATGGCTCACCGCCACCAGTCTCCCAGCAGCTCTTAATGAAGAGCAGCTGGAAGTTGGGTGGAGCAACAGGTGTGTCCCAGAGGCGAAAATGTTGACAGGGATAGGTCTGTCCTAGAGATAGAACAGGCATCTTCGTTGTGAGAGCAGTGAAAGGGGTCTGAGAGAGGGAAGTTGGGGCAGGCATGTTAATTGGTTTAGTTCAAAGAAATCTGTCCTGAGTCAAGGCAAGCATTTATCCTACAAACGTTTTCCCAAGTTATACGATATGCTGCCAGTATGGATTAGGTGGAGGTTCAAACCCCAGCTCCAGAGGACAGAGTGGTGAAATGAGGATGATAATCCCTCCCTCCTGATGTTTCTGTGAGGATTAAGTAGAGAGGTCACCCCTGGGGTAATAATCCCCTTTTCCGTCTCCGCTGCATTGAAGGCCACACCATGATGGCAGAGCTGTGTGACGTTAACAACCACCATCGACTTATCATGTCCTGGGCACTGTGCTCCGTGTTCTGTGGGCTGTAACATGTACAGTCCTCACAGCAGCTGCTCCCACTACTCACATGGGAAAAGCTTAAATAACTTTAAAGTTTAATAAACTTGCCCAAAGTCTCAAAACTAGTACAAAGTAGAACGCAAGCCAACTCCACAGTCCATATTCTTAAACATCGCTCCAACTTCACAGATAGGTACCACTTCAAAGTTTACTAAGTGGTTCCATTTATGGCATTTTGTTTGCTCACAGCTGTGTGCAGTGCAGCAAGGCAGACAGGGCCCGGGTTTCATAATGGAGTACACATCTATTAAGCAGCAGAGCCAGGGTTTGTACTTTCCATGTAGGCTCAATGCATTTGACAGACCGTCCTATCACACATTTTCTCTGCTCTTTTTACATGTTCCATTTTCCTTATCATAAGCTTGTTATTCATCAGTGAATCCCAGCCTTATTTTTCCAACACCCACAGGTGTCTCAATAAAGCAGAACTTTATCAGCAAGCTATTCATTCAGTGCAGGACACAAGCCTCCAAATATCTCATCGTGTGTCACAAAAATCTTAAACTGCTCATTGAATTTTGCAAGATGCCTGTGAGTGGGTGAAGGTAGGAAGAAAGAGTTACTGGGATGTAAAGGTGTACAGAAAGCAGTTGGATGTTGCCTTGTCCTGGAGGACAGATGAACAAGGTATGTTGACTGGGAACAGGTACTGGCTACTTTTTTTTTTCATGATGTCTCTGCAAAGGGCGTTAGCTTGCACATTGGGTGAGGGTGTAGCCTTTGGAATTGCTCACTTAGATTTTTATCCCAATTCTGCCACTTACTGCTAACTGTGTGGCCTCAGGTAAGTTACCTAATCCCTCTGCCAAGTTGCCTTATTTGGAAAGTGGGGCCAATGGCCAACAACAGCCCCTACTCCATCAGGTGGCTGTGAGAAATGTTAAAGTGCATGTAAAGTAGTGTTTTTCTTGCCTAGCCTATAGTAATCACTCAGTAAGCGTTAATTTTGTTTTAAAAAAAGGATGGTAATTGTTCCAAATGGATGGTGGGGGGGTGGGGGAAGAGACTGGAACAAGAATTCACATTTCCTTAAAGCCTGCCTGCCTGCCTTTGCGCCGCTCAACCACCGTGTCCCATAAACATGCACTACAGTAAAGTTCCCAGAACCCTGAGTTCAAACCGCCACTTTTTCCCTTCATCCCCTACGATAGCTGCACTTGTATCCCGTGATGAAGTCCACGACGGTAGTTTTTGTTTTGTTCCGCACACAGGCGGGTAGCGGGACAAATTCACAGCCACACGACATAGCGTTAAGTGGCTGAAGTGCTGTGGGGCGTTCCCGCAGCTGCAAAGAGCAAAGTGACGACGAAAGGTCGGCAAGTCGGCTCGACAAACCGCCACGTTCCTGGACTTTCCCAGCGGGACAATCGAAAGCCGACACTAAAACCTAGCTACCGAGGCGGGCGCCATATTTACAAAGGCTCATGGTCGCGTGCTGACGTCACTTCCGTCGCTCTTGACTGTGATTGGTCGGGAGGCTCCGGCACTTCTGATAGGCAGGGCCCACTACATCCCAGGGTGCTTTGGGCCGCCGCTTTCTTTCTGATCGGCTGTTCCGCTTTGAGGAGGTAGGTGGGCTGGAGCGCGACGCGATCGGGCGCCATCGGCCTCCATCAGCAGCCATCGGTGCGGGGCAGCTGCCGCAGTGGCTATGGAAGGCCCGACTAAGGGCCGGTCTCTGCCGCAGAAGGCGTTGGGCAGCGGCCTGGCCGTCGGAGGCGCGGCCAGGCGTGCCGGGGTGGAGACCCCGGCGGAGACCTGGGGGTTCGGCGGGCGGGGCGGCCAGGTAGTGGGCTTCGGCGCCTGGTCCGTCCGGAGCCCGGCCCCTAACCTGACCTTTTCCTCTCCGTGGGGCCCAGGGCCATAGGCAGCCATGGCGCCCAGCCGGAATGGCATGATCCTGAAGCCCCACTTCCACAAGGACTGGCAGCGGCGCGTAGCCACGTGGTTCAACCAGCCGGCGCGGAAGATCCGCAGGTGAGGCTCCCAGTCACGTGATGAGACTCGGGAATCGCTGTGCTGCTTTGATGAAAGCTTTTTTCGACCTGATGACCGTGGGCTTTTTCTTCAGGGTCCTACAGGGTCCTGCTTGAGTTTCTGGGGTTTTTGTCTTGGGTGGAGGTAATTACATCGCAGTCGTGTGGCTGATGGAGAGCAGGGATTGGGAAAATACTGTGCTGATTGGAGTGAATAGCAGGCCTCGACTGAGGGGAGGATGGCCCTGAAGTGAAGGTAATTGCTGCCTGGCTTCTCTCTGACCAGACGTAAGGCCCGTCAAGCAAAAGCACGCCGCATCGCTCCTCGCCCTGCATCCGGACCTATCCGGCCCATAGTGCGGTGTCCCACGGTGCGGTATCACACCAAAGTCCGAGCTGGCAGAGGTTTCAGCTTGGAAGAGCTGCGGGTGAGTGTCCACGAAATTGCTATGTTAGAAGGTTGTCTCTGTTGGTAGCTCAGTCACATGATGACAGTCTCCGGAATCGCTGTACTGCTTTGATGAAAGCTCTTTTGAACCCTTTTCCATCTGACGACCGAGCGCTATCATGCGGGCCTGGAGCCCAGAGGGCCCGTGGAGCTTCACCTTCTCTACTTCTGGAGCAGGTGGCTGGTATCCACAAGAAGGTGGCCCGGACCATTGGGATCTCCGTGGATCCGCGGAGGCGGAATAAGTCCACCGAGTCCCTGCAAGCCAACGTGCAGCGGCTGAAGGAGTACCGCTCCAAGCTCATCCTCTTCCCCCGGAAGCCTTCTGCCCCCAAGAAGGGAGACAGCTCTGTGAGTACCGTGCACTGGCACCACTGGTGGTAGGTTGTGTAGTTAGAGATGCTACCAGATGGCTCAGGGGGCCTGGCGAGGACCAGTAGAGAGGTTCAGGTCAGATGAAAAGAAGTCTGTCTTTTGTTTGGCTGGGGTGAGAAGAAAAAATATATTTGCCTTTTTACCTTCCAGACTTTGGCTATCATACATGGGTGGTCGAGAGTTGAGTGACTTGAAGTTGGCCCCGTAGAATTCACAAATTGAGTATCAAGACTGCGTGGACCCCCACTGTTCTTTTGACTGATTGTTTCCTACTTCTTAGTCACAGTAAAAGCTGTTTGTTGTGGAGCTTGTTTTTTCCAGTGGAAACTGTTATTACTAAAAAAAGTGTTTTCTGTGCAGAGAAAATATTCTTAGGTCTTGTGAAGCTGACAGCATTTACTGTATGGGAGTCTTTGCTGTCTCTGAAGTTTCCGGCATCGTGTTGGGGTATGGCTTTGTGCTCAAATGGATACTTGATTCTCACTTGCACCGTAGTTAACGTGCTAGGCTACTGGTTTGCAGGACGAGATGAGTGTATCTTGTCTGTTCTATAGGCTAACTTGGGGTCCTGTGAAGGGGTGTGGCTCCCTTGTTTGGCCACAGCACTGGCTCCTTTTCCAAGAGTATGAGGACACCCGGTGAGAGGTAATGATTTGAAGTGTGAGCCTGGGTTGGATCCCTCAGGGAGACTGAGCCCTGGAATCTTCTTTGTCTTTAATAACTAGGCCGAGGAACTCAAACTGGCGACTCAGCTGACCGGACCGGTGATGCCCATACGAAACGTAAGTGGACGGGTTTGTTTTGCTCTGTCAGTCCTGGTGCTGCTTGTGTTTCAGCTGCATCTTGGGAACAAGTGGGTGTTGATTGGGGCTGGTGTGGGGTTGAAGGAGTTGGGTGGCACCTGAGGCCCTGGGAAAAGCATTCCTGAAATCCCAACAGAGGAGTCTGGGGGGGGACCTTGTGTTCCCTTTCAGAAAGCTTGGGGACCCTCACTTGGCTGCTCACCACACCTCTGTGCTGCTTGGAAAGCCCCAGCCACAGACCTGCGGGTTTCTTGGGAGAGATGGGCTGTCCTGGGGCCTCCCTTTGTTTAAGTCTGTGCTGTCTGTAGCAGTGCCTACCTCCTCATAGGACAGACTGTGGAGACTGTGGAGACTGAGATGGTCCTCTTAGTTTTTGCTCTGAGTTTTTGTTCTTAATTTTTCTTTTTTCTCAGAAGCAGTTAGCAAACAGGAAGCCACAAACACAGGGAGACTGTTAGGTCCTATGGAGGGTCATTATCAGCCTTTTTCTCGGCAGCCTTAGTGTCACCTTATAATTGCATAGGTCCCTCTTGGTGTCCCTCACTGAACTCTGGCAAGCTTGGCTCTTACTTAGTCGTTCGGTCACAGTGGCTCAACTCATGGCTCCAACCCCACCCTCCTTTACAGGTCTACAAGAAGGAGAAAGCCCGGCTCATCACGCAGGACGAGAAGGACTTCAAGGCATTTGCCAGTCTCCGCATGGCCCGCGCCAACGCCCGACTCTTCGGGATCCGCGCAAAGAGGGCCAAAGAGGCCGCAGAGCAGGATGTGGAGAAGAAAAAGTAAATCTCTGTCAGGGACCTTTAATAAAAGCAGTGAAGCCTTTTCTCAAGTAGTATCATTGTGGCATGAGTGGCCAGGTGGGCACCAGGATCCTGGATAGTGCTTCACCCCTTTGGGTCCGGGCTGAGTGGGAGATGAACGGCTTTGGTGTGGCTCAGAGATGTGAAAAATGGCAGCTTGTTTTGTGCAGAGGTCATTAAGCAGAATTATTTTTTTAATCAGAGTAATTTTTAATCCAGTTGATATCCGAGGACATGGGGTGACCTCATGACTGGCAGTATCCTGGAGCCAGTGCGGGCTGTGTGTGTGGCCACCTCGTGTCCCAGGCAAGATCACACCATGTATGAGGTGCTCGGGTACTGCCTGGCCTTGTTCCTCCTTCATCACAGCAGAGTGACAAGCCACACACAAGTAGTCCTGCCTCATACAGTCTTTGTAGTGTGGTCACTATGGTCCCAGGAAACCATGTGGCAGAACCGCGAGTCTGATTGTGTGGACCTGATAGTTAAGGTGGTCATTGTGATGAGTCCCGTGTATCTGTAATGTGTGCTGCCACTGCCTGATTCCCCAAACTCCCTTGTTTGTTTTAAAGCAAATTACAAATGTCCTTTATGCAGGATTTGTTTACCTTAAAGGAGAACTATTAACTGCCCACACAGCCTAGGCTTGGCTCTCAGAGCTTTGGGGAGCAATTCCTAAACCTGAGTGGGGCCACTGCCGTACTCTGGATGACTTCCTGGTGGTGCTGTTTTCCTTGCTGGGTTCCCAACACACTTCAAAGAGCCATATTGGAACCAGGCTCCCTGGGGTACTGCCTTGGGAAGGTCAAACTAAAAAACTGAGTAGCTTCCAGGTGAGGGATGTAACTGGCAGGGGCAATGGCAGGTTCTGCAGATCAGCCCATGTGTATAGCTGTGGGGCGGGGGGGAGGGGTGTTGCCTGTTTTTCCCAGGGAGCGAGAAGCTTTGGTCCTGATGGTACTCCAGGTCCATCTAAGTCTGCCCTGCCATCAGTCTGCAGCAGTCCATATCCCTCTTCCTCAAGAATGCTGAGATTGGGGGTCTTGGGCAGCAGGCTGGTGAGAAAGCAGCAGGAGGGAGATGCTTGCATCCCCAGCTCCATCCTTTTGTGGTCACATGGCATAGCTGAGCCTCACCCCCCAGCCTGTTTCCACATCAGATCCCATAGTGCCAGGGATGGTCTGAAAAACTTCCCCAGGGGGGTGGTGCTCCTGGGGCTAGAGGCAGCAAAACTGGGTTATTGTGAATGGCCTGGAGCAGAGGGAACATCAAACAAAGGTGGTCCAGGTAGCTCAACCAGGAGCACCTTCAGATGCCTCTGATGTGTGACCTGGGCAAAGGTGACATGTCACATCTGAGCTTAGGTTACATTGTGTGGCTTGCATTCTGGGCCTCAGGGGTGCCAGCTGTGTGGGGACCTCACAGCAGGGCCTCCCTGGGAGAGGAAAGGGAGTCTTGAGATGGCAGATCCTGGAGCCAGAGGCCCCAGCTGAGCCCCACCCAAACACCTGAGCCATAGAAACATCATACTGTTTTAGCTGCTAAGTTTTACGGCAGTTTGTTAGCCGGTAATAGCTGACTAATGGCTATGGTTTTTCCACCCAGTGAACCCCCCAGGGTTCCTTCTGATGCTAAGTCAAATCACTTTCCCTGGCCCCATCTCTGCCACCTCCTCCCACCAGCCACCTTCCCTGGGAGACATCCAGGGCTGGGCTGGCAGCTGGGACCAAAGGTCAAATTTGCTGCCCTCTGACCCCACCCTGTCCTGACTTAGAGCTGGTCTCAGGTGGCAGGGGCAGATGGGGGTGAAAGAGTTGAATATCCTTATGACTGAAATGGTAAATAAACAGCACCTGTTAGCTAAGGAGCTGATGGGGCAACTGCTCCTGTCAGCATGAGAATACAGTGAAAATAAAAACCAGGAGACGTTTAAAACAAGTGGTATCCCTGTTTGCACAGTGTGATACAGTTGTAAACTGTGAGCAAAGCCACGAGCCCCCGAGTTGTCTGGGAGACAGTTGCCAGGTCATGGGGTGTGGACTGGCTGTTCCTTTGCCCATCCGGAAGACAACGTCCTGGTGAGGGTCTTCGTTTGTCCTGACTGCCAGACCCAGGGTAGGGACAGACACCTCTGGGGAGGGGCTGGGCTTGTGGCTGGTTTGTTTTGGTCATCATGAACTGTTGGTGAGTCTTCACAGAGCAGGAAGTGCTGTAGCCATGTCAGCAGAAGTCCCATGCAGCTCACATTAAGAAACAGGCAGCAAAAGAAATCCCTGTTATTAGCAATGGGCATTTTCTGAATGTTGCATAAAAACACCCAAACCGGTTGCTGTTGAGTTGATCCTGACTCATGAACGTCCCATGTGTTACAGAGTAGAACTGCTTCACAGGATTATCAATGGCTTGATTTTTGGAAATAGATCACCAGGCCTTTCTTCCGAGGTGCCTCTGGATGGATTCGAACCTCCAGCCTTTCAGTTAGCAGTCGGTTAACCGTTCACACCACCCAGGGACTCTTGATACCTATGTAAATGCAGGGGAAAAGATCGGTAGAAAACTTGCTGTATTGTGTGCATCTTAAATCTGAGCTTATTTGTAAGGTCCCAGTGATACCCACAGCCCTTTCTCCATCTGGAATTTGGGGGCAGCCCTGAGGCACACAGTGTTCCCAGGGATAGAGCAATTGTACAAAGAAATCAGGAGAGTTGAGGGCTAGGAAGTGATCGCAGCAGGGATCTGCCAATGGGTGATGATTTTTCCATTCTATAATGGAGGTATAATTTACATACAAATGAAATTGTCCATTTGGGTTCATTTCTAGAGTTTTGACAGATACTTCTTGAAGCTTCAAGTGTGACCGCCACTGGTTCCATTGACGATACTTCAGTGAAACGAAAAAGTTCCTTTCTTTAACTTATTAGTGGAAATTTGGCAACATGCCCAGAAGCAGAGATTAATTGAATGGACCCTCATGTACCTGTCATCCAGAATTTTCAGCATGGGGGAGAGTGGCTCTTGAATTCTTGGTTTGCTTAGATGTGATGACAAATGTCAGGGACTGTTTGCAGCTGGGGTCTGGGGCCCAGTGGGGATGGGAGTTGGACCCTCAGAACCTGGGGAGCCAGCATCAAGTCAGACCCA